GAACCTGGGCCCTGGATCTCCCTTAGAACGTTTTTTTTTTTTTATTTTCGAAAAATACCCCCGACGGGCCAAGAATGGTATTTGAAAATGAATCCCCAAAAAATTTCAAAGCGGGAACAATGATATATTTCCTAGCGTCGGTCCCAATCTGTTCCTATTTTTCCCGACGTGAAATTACTGTTATATCTCTCTGTATACAGATACAAACCAAGCCCTAAAACACATACAAAACCTCACACCGCCTCTCATCTCTTTCGGTTTTTCATTCTCTCTCTTCACAACTCCTCTCCCCTCCCTCTCTTATATCTACTCCACCACCGCCTCCACCATTCGATGACGAAAGGCGATCGTAGCTCCTCTCTCCACCCTCTCTCACCGTTGCTCCACCACCGCCTCTGCCAGATGATGTAGAGATTGGTTGGAGTTTTGGAGGAGAAGACTACTGGTGTTAAGAGGCTTTATCAGATGCAGGCTAATGGAACTTTGTTGTTCCCTGCTATCAATGTCAATGACTCTGTCACCAAGAGCAAGTTATCGATCTATATTTGTTCATTTATAGTTGGGTCTGTTTCAGATCTGAGATTTATAAGTGTTAGATCTGAAAGTGATAACAGTGTTTGTGTTCATGTACTTTTTTGAATTGGTTTTTCAATCCCTCTATTTTAACAATTATATGCCATTCTACAAGTGTAGATCTGAGATTTACAGTCTTGATTGTGTAGATTGATCTAATTTTGGATTTTTTGGGTTGATAAGAAAAGAAGCAAACCGAAGCCTGCACTAGATAATTTCCTTAAAACAGATTCACCGCCTCCCAATGGATACTAGAGGTATGCCGACGTCTGTCTCCCAGAATACGATGATCGAAACAAGCTAATACAGAAGCACCTTCTGAATAGTTTTGACGAACTTGACAATGGAAGCAGTCTCTCTAACAAGAACCAAAGAAGAGGCTAACAAAAGAAGATAGAAAAAATTTTCTTTGGTGTAAAAAATTATCTCTAAGTTTTTATCTCAAAACACTATCTCATTTTCCATTACAAAACCTCTCTAAAAACAACTTACTAAGTTGGAGGGAAAAAGCCTTTATTTATACTAGTAGGGGAGAGCCTTAGCCATGAAGGCTAACATCAATGGGGTCATCAAATGTCATCAACTCTAGCCATTAGGGCTAGAGTTACAAAAGTTCAAAAGTCCAAAACCATTATATAAATCATAATGTGTATATAATGCATAATTTTTTAGAATTAAACTAGATGGGTTGTAAAATGGACACGGGTGTTAGGTCACAACCCGATCCAAGTTCAATCTCAAACACATGCACAAACTAAGCCCAGCACAACTCAGCTCAAAGCTTAAGACTAGCTCCAAGTCCAAGTCTAAGACTAAACCCAGCACATGCACAAGTACAAGTCTAGGCCCGGTTCAAACCAAGACTAAGTTCAAATCTAAACCCAACTTTATTGATACCCACTTTATGAGACAATTCTTACTCACAATTCAATGGCTTCGGCTCATTATTTTTGTATTGCAATATTTTCACTTAAGAGAATACAAAACCACTCAGACCCACCTCAATCGGCGGTTGAGTCCCACTTTAATTTCGAAGTAAAGTTGCCAAAAAATAATTATTTTTCTAACAAATTCTTATTACATATTACTCAGAAAAATAATCAGCCAATCATCACATATAGTAACATTATTTCAAACTAAACTTTGCAAAAAGGGTTGGAAAGAAGAAAAATACAAGTAAAAAAAAAAAAAGCAGAACCCATAAAGGTAAATGGGTTTTGTATGTCTTCCATTGATTGTAAAGATTTAGGATTGAATTAGGTTTGTGTGAATATACAAATATTATAGATAGAAGAAAAAGAATTATGACAACTTCTTATGCCCTCCAGCTTCAAGCACAAGTGAAGTAAAACTTTTGTTCATCGTAATCCCTGCACTATCATTTAATTCAAGTCACCTTTTCACATGTGGTTCAAGAATCCTATTTTGCTTGAAAAAACGAGATTTGCTTGGACTCATTTCATGGTTATGCTCAAGTCTTAAGGATCGCAGTATCCACATTCCATCGGCTTGTAAATTTGCCTTAAGTCTAGCTTTGCATCCCGTTTTAGTTTGTGGCATAGTTTAACTATATTGCTTGTTTTGATTTTTGCCTTTCTAGCACGAATACAAGCAATAGTTACATATTTTTTCTCCCCATCTCTGAGGACGTGTCCATGGATTTCGATTTTGATTCTCTCATCATTGATATCATCTCTTTTGTGTCTCCATACAACACTTTGTATGGATTTCCTTTGAAACCTTGCTATCCTGGAATGTAAAATGACCGCAAGAGTTGGATTATAAGGTCGGTTTGTTCTTTTTGAAGTTGGAATATCTTTTTTCCTTCTTCATAGTTACTACCAAATGCTGTCCGAGAAATCACATCGCCTGTGAGATTATCAAGATAAGGCCATACATCAACCTCACATGACCCTTTTGTTGATGAGACTAACACTTCCCATTTGCTTATCATCTCACTACAACTTGAGCACATTGCTGGTACCATATGCTATATAGCAAACACCAAACACATTGTTAAGCACTGACTGTAAGCACAATAGTGAAGAAAAGAAGTCGAGATTAGAGATTACCTTCAACTTTTCTAGATGAAAGGCTGGGTTGATAAGGTTTCTGTGCTTAGCCCATTTCTCACCTTCATACGACCCAAGCCCTCGTACTAGTAATTTTCCAAGTGGGTTATTGGTTGGTTTTTGAAAGACTTCATGGTTAAACAAAATCTCCTTTATATGTTTAGGATCTGCAATGGTCACTCTTGGTGTTGGGCCCATCCATTGAAAGTAATTTTTACCTGAAAGTTTCTTAGTAAAACAATTAGCTCTAGCAGAATAAGATATCAAGTAAAACGAGCTGTTTTATTTTTATTTTTATTGGAACAAGTGAAATAAGCTTAAGAATCTTGATATTGATGATATAAATATTTGTATCACGTCTTCTTTCAAGCATATATAAGTTTTTAAATTAGATAATTGCTAAAATAGTATTGTAAATTAAACATTCAGAATACTTGATTATTGCTATATGTAGTCAAGACATGTTTATGCACTTTTTAGAGAATGTGTTGCTTAATCTATTTATCTCACCACCACCACTAAAGAAGCCAATGGTAATGGAAGACAATATCAACCTAGAATTTTATGAGTATGATGCATCTTCAAGCTTGGCCCAAATTTAATTTGAATTTCTAAATTGTTGCCTAAGACTGCACGTAGCTAAAAAATATGTTGTCCAAGCCTAAAATGTTTTGAACTGGGATCTGGTTATTAGGATTGGCCCGCTCAAATTGCACCCCTGTTTTTCCATTTGTTTCATTCCCTTCCATTCAAATAGGTGATGTTTGATTGCCAGATTTAGTTATACTATGAGATTAGATGAGATGGAGATTGGATAGATGATAGGATTATAGATAGTATTATGTAAATAAGTATTTTTGAACAGATAATTATAATTATAGGATTATAATTTTGAATGATAGGAATTATTTTTGAACATGGGATGAAGGTGAAAAATAATCTGGAGAGATCTAATCCCGTAATTCCATAATTTTCATGGTATCACTTAATTTCTCATTTTCCCGATATAATTCCCCATATCAATATTAAAATTATCAGAAGTTTTAATAGCTAAACATATAACTGATTAAAAATTCAGTGGGCTCAGATGCTCCCTATACTTTGACATCTATTTCTTATCCCACAATCAAACATCGAATTAAAAATTCAATGGTCCCATAAATTCCCTCCATGTTCAATCCGCCTTTTGTAATGCAAACAATCATGCACCCTTTACTCTCTTGCTATCTGTATATTCTAATTGGTCAAACCTAATTTAGGAAAAGGAAAATTGAAGAAAAATAACATAAAATGTGACATTCAGCTAATTGGATACTTTAGTTATCCTTGGGATAAACAAGGCCACAAAAAAATCCCAGCAAAATGTTTTAGATGAAAATTTTGGAATTTTGAAAATTTTCAGCAGTAATCACAGAAAACCCAGTTGATGATCAAGAAAACACAGATTGGATTTATATAAAGTAAATATTTTCGAGGTTATTACCAACATGGAGATCTTAATTTTACAAGAAAAACTCAAAATATCACAAATCTCATGGTGGTTTTGAGGAGACATACACATACCATGAAGGTTGACATAGTTAGGGTGGGATGGTAGGAGATGTGGGACAATATCGTCTGAGGACGTGTCCATGGATTTCGATTTTGATTCTCTCATCATTGATATCATCTCTTTTGTGTCTCCATACAACACTTTGTATGGATTTCCTTTGAAACCTTGCTCTCTCAAGCATTTCTCTATCTGCTTCGGCCTCAACCATACCCAGTTCACCACCTTCCATGCATATGTTACCAAAGTCACCAAAGCAATGGAGGCAATAATAGAGCTCACTGTTACTTCCATATTGGAGTGGAGAGAGAGAGAGAGAGAGAGACAGAGAGACAGAGATCCTACCACTAGGTACAAGCTTTATATCATGATGTCAAACAATAGATATGTATTTTAATTATGTAAGCATGACTTTAGTGTCCCAAAACTATTGACCAGTGCTCTGCATTCAACATTTGAAATGATTGTTCATTTATAATGTAAGTAGGTGAGTTTGGATTATAAAAGTAGAGTTTGTACAGTATAATTTTAGTTTTGTCAAAGCTCTGAATCAAAATTTTAGTTTTGTCAAAGTTTTGAATCAAAATTTATTAAGTTAAATTCGGGGGACATGAGCCTTAACAATCCGAATTTTATTATTAATATATATAATTATAAGACTTATTAGATTAAATTATTCTGCAATCCTGAGGAGAGGATGAAAACCCTATAAATATCTACGCTCTAATATATATTAAAGCTTATAAATATATATGTTCTAGAAGCATGTCTCTATATATAGTTTTATGAGTAATATATATATATATATATATGGTTACGTATCATTGGTGATATTCATTAGTCACTTTCGTGGATTTGTAAGGCAAAATATTTTAAGACAAGTCGTAGAAGAAAAATCTTTGAACTGATAAAAGGTGAGAAAAGAGTTCGTTGAGTTTGTAAGAAACTCCTACTTACTTCTATAATGGGCCAAAAACATTTTCAATGCACAAATATTGACTTGAAAGCTTTGCAAATTAGTTTTGTTTTTTTTTTTTTATCAGGAAAAAAAGGGAATTTATTATAGTTAATTTGGATTTGTTTGTTTCGTCGATTAAAATTACAATGCAAATGGTAACGAACCGATTTACATATACAAGTAGGAGAAATATTGAATTCGAATGTAACCTGATCCTTAGGTCTTTGATAAAACTACAATGTGAGGTTACTCTATTCTAAGATTGGTTACGAGTAAATCAAGTATTTAAAATTTGTCAAGTTGTAATATATGGATGGATCGACTCGCCATTCTCATAGTAAAGTGAGATTGACCTAAGCCTTTGATTTGAAACCTGACTCGTTGGGCTAGCTAGCAAACTTATCAAAAATTACGAACAAAAAATAGAAAAAAATTAAAAAATAAAACTTAAATCTTGGCCCGTTAACCCGTCCATTGGCCTAGTCGGCAAGCTTGTCTGGGCCAAGCCCACCTAGTAGAGCTTAGGCCTAAGGTTTTGACCCATGGCTCGGACCGGCTAAAGCTAGCCCAAAAAAAAGCCCATTGGGATCAGCACATTGGGCCAAGCATGCCCAACAGAGCTTAGGCCTAAGGTTTTGACCCATGTCCCGACCTGGCTAAAGCCGACCAAAAAAAACCCATTGGGCTCAACGTATAATCGGGCTTGGGCTCTACTTTCACAAGTTGGCTTGACCTGATGCTAACACTTAACGCAGATAATATCACATGATACTGTTGAACTACTTAATAATATTGAACGAAAAATATAGTTAGTAGTTACCTTGTTGCCGACACAAAGAACTAAATCATCGCACGACCCGTGGAAGGGCTCAAATTTGTAGGGTAGGTCATAACCCAAAACTTCTACAACATTTTCAAAAACTTCAATGCAAAGCCCCAAATAACTCTTATCACCATTTGAATTCTCAACCACCTTCACAAACATCTCAAAAGTAGTCTCAGCTGGAACTCCAATCTTCAACTTCTTTACTTCATTGGGCATTGCCCATCCTTTTGGGACAACATTCACTAGCTTTCCTGGCCAATACAGTGAATCAACAGCCCACAATTTCATGCTATCACTGCCATTAACACCAGCAACACTCTTTGAGAATCCAAACTTGGATGACCAAAAACAAACCTCATTATAACTTTTTCCTATGACATTTATGATTTTGAAAATGGGAAATTGTTGTGATAGCTCCCCACCATCGAAACGAATATCTCCACTCAACCCTTTGAAATTGCTCGATAAATGTTTTCAAGAAGCATTTTTTGAGTCCTATTATTAGTGGTAACTAGTTTTTGCACAGCTCTTATAATAGTGTCAATACTATCATACGCTCGTATAGCATGAATTCCAGGCTCAGAATTATCTTCCTCGCGATACTCTGATCTAATTTTTTTTTGAAAATGTTGTTTAAAATTTTGAAAAAATTGATTGCTTTCGTTATAATACGCCTGAATTCCTAGAGCACCTTTCATATCGGAGATAACAGAAGTGTTAACAGAATCCAAAAGACTCGAAATTGCATCTGTTATTATCCACACTGAGTCTCTCCCCACCAACCCTAATTGCTTAGCTTCTCTGAACAAATGAATAGCCAAAGGTAATGATGACTGAAGAATGATAAAAAACCCTAGATTGTTGTTTATGCAACAAACTCACAAATTCTTTATGAACAAACCCTTGTGGATCAGAAAGAGAAGAGAATGGCGGGAAAACTAAGTGGTGCTCAATCTCTGTGCCAATGCTATGAAGTGATTCAGATAACAAAGCTAGCCCACTGGAATCGCTACCATAGCTATCGTCTTCATATATCGCTATTACTTTTTTCCATTTGTAGGATTGAAGAATGGATGCAATGCAATTCACTTGTTGCGAGCCATTGGTGGCTATTTGTACTAAGAAAGGCCAACGAAGGGCATTTGATGGCGGTGAAATGATGGCCGTTGATGCAAGTGAAAGGATTGGGACTTGTTCTCGGTTGCCAATGGATGCAACTACAGTTGCCTCATGCCATGTCTCCATCCCAACAATCACTTGTACTTCTTCTTTAATCAGCTCCTCAGCTGCAAAAAAAAAAAAAATTATTCAATTAATTCTACTTTTTTAGATAAAAACAAGAAAAATTATATTCATACATTCATACGAAAAACTCCACAATAATTATGTGACAATGTTATTTTTGTAAATAAATTTATCTTCACGAGTGTTTTGTTTTAAAGTGAAAAATTCATAATGAGCCACGTCATTCTGTATGAAATTTTGCATAAATTTTTATTTATATATCATTACTCTAAAAATAATATACCAAACAATTTTTTGTTATTGATTTATTTCTTTTTAAAGGAGAAATAGTGGCCATATGAAACTATAGAGTATATGCTCTCATTCCTATCTTACGAGTTGTGACAATATATCATGTTGATTCTCATGTTAATGCATAAACACAGAGTAATGTTATAAAAACATATATCTTTAATTTATGTGATAAATGTATTTGTGAATGTTTTTCTTTTTACAAAGAATTAGTGTTTATTGGTGATAAGTCCACTTTTTATGGGTTATGACATGAGATTCAATGATTGATATTTTTAGTGATAATGATATTATTAATGAAATTATTTAGCAAAATGGATAAATTATTGTTTTAAAGGAATTTTTTTGACCCTACTGCCACCAAACCACCATTGATCAACAATCGGAAAAATGATTGAAAAGTCGTTGAATTTGGCTAGCAGTGGTGGTGGTGTTGATATAGGCAGGTTAAATAGACAAGTAGGCAACACGTGAATAAATAAGGAATAACATGTAGATAGATTGACAAAAAGATTTTAACCCCCAAAAGAATAGAGCTTGAGACTATTGTCACAAAAAATTTTAAAATTGAAGTTATGACCCAAGTCCTAGTTAAATTATTATGTGTATTTTTTTATGTACTCCCTCCAATTTGTTGGTTCCTTTTGGGGACTCCCAACTATTGAAGAAGACATGCAATTATTACACTTAAATTTAAATTTTAAAATATTTTTGAACTAATGTTCCAATCTTTTCAAATTTTTAATATATTTACAATTACTCAAAAGGGGTATTTTTAGAAAATAAAAGGCTTCATTTTGTTTAGTTTAGTTTTGAAAAATTAATTTTTGAAAAGAGTTTTGAAAATTGAAAACTTATTTGGTTATGAGTTTTGAAAATAATTTTGGAATGATTCGTAGTTTTTTTTTTTATATAGTTGAATAGATGGATATGAGAGAACTTAGTGTAATATTATATAAATAGAGTTGTTGTATATAAAACAAGGTGTCTATTCATATTTGTTCATTTAAAATCAAAACGTCTATCACTTTGAATCATAATTTCAAAAAATAACAATAAGAAATTTGTATAAAAATTCTATTTGTATAATTATTTGAAAAAAAAAAAAAAAAGCATTACCAGCATAAACTGCTTGGAGGGGGTCTCTGCCAGGGTCTTTGAAATGGAGGACTAGCTTTTGCATGTTTGAAGTGTTGCTGTTGAAGTTCTGAGCTGCTATTTCCAGGCCTATTTTTTGTTCTTTGCCAATACGGGAATTTGCATCGATGATCGCTCCGATATTTGTAGTTTTCGAATCGTTAGATTGAGCTTCTGTGAAGGATCCATGGGACAGAAAAATAAACAGGAAGGAGAAGATCTGTGTGAGGAAGAAAATGGTGAATTTTGAAGACATTCTTGGCTTCAACATGGTAACAAGTCTTATTCATATCGTTACGAATATACTTATCGAGTGTTTATATATTGGTGGCGAGAGCACATGTGATACGTGTAAATTAAGAAAAGTTGAAATTTTGACAAAATCTTAATTAATTTTTTTCACAATTCTGTTCAAAAAATAAAAATAAAAATAAAAATAAAAAATCTGTTTTTTCACACAATTTTGAACTGTTGTAGGTATTTTGGAAAACTTTCAAGTGATATTCACCCCCAAGTCTAATGTTGATTTTATATAAGAGTAATACTATAAATTCAAAAAAAAATTTACTTAGAAATTATTCAGAAATATTAATGTGTGGTTCGAATATATTCTATACATACACCTTATAACACACTTTCAATCTCCACTATACACTTCATTCTTGAACTAATACACACATACTTGATGTTTATATAATAGTATAGATAGTATAAATATATAGTATAAAAAATTTAGCAATAAATGTATACTAATATCATAATATATTACTATACCAATTGATACATATATTACAACCGATAAAATTTTCCAAACAGCCATGCTACAGACCCCGACAAAATGGCCGACCAAACTACCGAAAAACACATTTAGACGCCAACTCCACAAAAGAGCCCCACTTTTGTGCTCCACTCATGTGCTTCTCTATACATATTCAGATTCTCTTTTTGGTTTAGTTAAATTTATTATTTTTTTAAAAATCAAAAATTAATTTGATAAAAAAAATTATAAGAAAAAATTTAAGGTTTGAGTGTTATGGGTTTGTTTGGCATATCAATTTGGACCTAAAATAATCACAAAAAAATAAAATACATTAAAAAGTCAATAAGATAAAATGTTACATTCAAACCATAATTATTTTATTTTATTTCTCACAAAAGTCAAAAAGCCCAACTCAAACAAATTTTTTAACCAGATTAAAATAGCCAAAAAAGTCAAAAAGTCAACTCACTTTCCAAATAAAGGTATAATAATCTTAAAAATTTTTAATTTTATTAATTTAAATAATATTTTTTGATTTATTTTTAATTTATTTTTTTTTGTTTTCGTTAAAGTAAAATTCATGAAAACATATATTTTAATCATTATACTCACTATAATTGTGCAAAAAATGTCTAATATTTTATTTTCTATTGAATTTAATGACTAATATTTAGGGATCAATTCTTATCATCACGATGATAGTCGCTAAGCTAGAATCCGAAAAGTTAAAAAAAAATAAAAATAAAAATAAAAAAATAGCAACAAAATAATTCGGTCTCAAAATAAATAATAAATCATTACTAAGGCTTGGTTTAGCATAATAAAAAAAAAAAAAAGACAAAAAGTCACAATCCTGTTTAAGTCACATCATCTCTCTACCATATCATTTCAAACCCAACCCATATCCAACCCATATTTCATAAAAAGTCAAAAAGTGCACTTATTTAGTTTATCCCAACAACCCTTAAATGTCTAATTTTGTTACTAAAGATACAATAATGATATTTTTTGAAACAAAATATTTTGCCCATAAAAAATAATTTTTATTGTAAATTTTTATTTCAAACATTTAATTTGTTGTAATATTTTAACTTTTTTAAATAAATAAATATAATATAATATAAATTTATGCAATCAAATAGTCTACTAATTGGCATTGAAATGATAATCTACACTAATGAGTAGAAGTGATCGTGTACGGCTCACTTGAGTTTCAATAGTAGCTCATTGTAATTTTGAAATTCGATGCACTACAGGAAAAAGGGAATTTGATGGCGTTTTGTTAACGACGTTTCTGTAAACATCACTGTTATTAGTATTTAACGATGCTTTATAAACGCCGCATATTCTATTAAGAAAAACGACACCGTTTTATAATGGGAGGCGTTTAAAAACGCCTCCGAATGCGGTAAACTACACACGCCCCTTTTTGTGAAAACCTTATGTTGAATCAAAGCCTTAATACATACGCACAGATCTCTCAACCCTTGATACATACGCACAGATCTCTCTCTCTCTCTCTTAACCCTCTCCATCGAAGCTTAAATATTCAGATTGAACAAAACCTGATTCAGATCGAAGCTCCATCGAAGTTTCAGATCTAAGCTTCATCGAAGATTCAAATCGAAGCTCCATCGACGCGATTTCGAAGCGCCATCGCCTGCGATTTCGAAGCTCCATTGAAGCGATGTCGAAGATTCAAATCTGAACTCTCTGGCCCCTCGATTACTCGCATTTCAAGCTCCATTGAACAGTCTACTTTGTTTCTGAACTGTAATCAGTACTCTCTCTCTCTGTCTCGCTCTATTTGTGTTTAATTGGACGTATTGGATAAGAGTGAATTAGAATCTATCATACTTGAATTCTGAAATTGTGAATTTAATTACAATTTACTTACACATGTACAGAGTGTAATTTGCATACAATGAGAAATTGTCACAAGTCTTTTGCAAATTAGCTATGTTTTGATCCATTAGTCAATTAATTAGATTCTTTCTATCAGAGAGAGATAGTTCAAGTTGGTAAATTCTTCGATCTTTTATTTTTTATTTTTTGATTGAGAAAATGACGTTGTAATTAATCAGATACACAGAGCTCATGAACCCGAAGCTCAGGTTTGGCAAACTTGATAGAGTATGCCCAACTAGCTGAGGTGAGTTGAGAGCAAAACAAAATTAGAAGCAATCCCCAACCATCACTTTCAGCCTTGAATAATCTCAACTTGTCCATTTTATTTTATTATTATTATTTTTTTCGTGATGATAAGTCTTGATCATGTTCTTGTGTCAAAGAAACATGTTTAGTGACCAAATTTTTTATTTTTATATTTTAATAATTTAGTATCTAATTTATTAGACTGATTAATTCAAATATAGCAGGAATCATAAGATGTTGATTGCAACCATAAATTGGGGAGGATGAAGAATACTTACTAACAGCCAAAAACATCACCCAGAGTGATGGCTTAATGGTGGGGTTCACTAATAAGAGGAGATGAGTTGGACTCTAGAAAAGGATGAGTTGTTATTGGGTAATAAATCACACACGCAATAGTAGAAAGAACCAATTACAATTTCAATGGCAATCCCATTAAAACATTCGGTAGTTATAATATTGAATAGCATCTACATTGAAGCTACTCTAATGCGAACACAAAAATATTAAATAATCCTATAATATTATGTCATATTGCTTACATTATTATGCTAGTTCAGTCATATTGATTTCATTGAGACTGTGCTTTCTTCTTTCTTCTTTTTTTTTTCATTTAATTTAATTTAATTTAATTATTTATTTTTAAACATATGTTGGCGCATTGTATTGGAAGTTCGGATGTAAATGGACCAAACTCATTGTTTGGTTTATAACGCTAAAACCGTTTTTGAGCTTTTTATTTTTTGTCAAGTGATTATTTTATGCTTCATTTGTTATTTCAATGGGAGTTATTATTTTATATGTTAGTTATTTTATATTTATTACAGATATTTGAATGGAAGTTGGATATTAATTGAATAAGAAACTGAATTAATGTTTCATTTTTGAATGAGAGTTAATATTTTATATGTCAGTATTACTACAAGTATTTTTTTAATTCAATCAAATAAAAATTAGTACAATTTCCAAAAAAAAAAAGAGGGGATATGACGGCGTTTCTACAAACGCCTTCTAAACTGTCAATATTAACGGTCATATTTTGAAAAAAGATACCACGGCGCTTCAAAAACGTCGCTAAATATCGCTAGTGACGTCAGCGAGTGTATAGTGGGACATTTGGCAGCGTTTCTTAAAACGCCTCCTATACTAATATCACGGCATTTTTAAAACGTCGCAAAGATACAGCGACGACCGCAGCTTCGACGTTTGGTACAAAACGCCACTAAAGGAATTAGCGGCGTTTTTAATAGATATAGCGGCATTTTTTAAACGCCACTAAAAATCTAATTTCCAGCAGTGATGGTACTACATATATCAATTAGTGTACACACTAATGTACCAATTAGTATTATGATATCATTAATAATCCTATTTATTATACAAATTATAAATACCCAAAACTTCTAAAATTATAACACATCATTTATTGATACACTAGTATATACACAAATTAATACATATAACATTACATAGTGTCATGCCACATTGGAATTCGATAGTTTTCTCTGTCATTTATTAGGGGCCTCTATCACTTCTCCTTTTCAAAATCTCATCTGTCTTTTTAGTTTAATGTTGGTTTGAGAATTAATTTTTTTTAATAATTTTTTATTTTCTTACAAAAATAATTTTTAAATTTTTTATTGTTTTTCATATTGGTGTAGTTTATTTTACGGGATACTTTTTTATAAATCTATTTTCACCTATTTATATTTCATTTAGTTTATATTATTTTTTTATATTCTAGTAAGTTCTATGAGTGATATATAGTTATCAAAATATCCTTAATAATATTCACTTTTACAGTGTGAATGTTTCGTAATGTAAATGTTCATACCGCTAATGTGAATGACAATAGAGTGAATTTGTATTTTTAATTTTTTTTTTCATATTGGTGTAGTTTATTTGAAGGGGCACTTTTTCATAAATTTATTTTCATCTACTTATGTTTCATTTAATTCATATTATTTTCTTATATTCCAATTAGTACTATGGGTGACATAGTTATCAAAATACTCCTAATAATATTCATATTTACGGTGTGAATGTTCCGTGATATGAATGATCATATCGACAATGTGAATGTTCACACCATTAATGTAAATATTAACATATCAATGTAAATATTCATATTGCCAATTTGAATGTTCACAGTATCAATGTGAACATTCACACGTCAATGTGAATATTCACATTGTAAAATATGAAGATTCACATCACCAAATTATTAACCGTTCAAAAAAAATATTTGTAAGGATAGAAATGTTCATAAAATACCTTAAATATTAGCATTATGATATGGTAAATCAAATGTTTAAATAATAGGACTTATTAGAATACAAGAATATCTTA